ACGGGAAAAACATCCAAGTCAGCAAGTTTCGCTGCTTTTCCACGGCAGTTTGCAAGAATGCGTTGTCTCTGGATCTCCGGATTCGAAGACGCGACTGAAGAAGATGCGAGCTGTACAGCAACTTGTCTGCGCTCTTTCTGCACACCAGGGCAGAAGATGACAAACACGGCAACCTCGCGCTATCTGTGCTGAGAAGAAGACAGAAGCACGATGGGGCAACACATTCCTACATGTTCGAGCCCGGGGGGCAGGGGATTTTGCTGAGTGTGACTTAGTGGCTCGAGCCCGTCGCGGTGGACTGGGAATCATAGGGATCATCCTGAACACCGCAGGCCAGATTTGCTGGCAGGGCGGCATCGATTTTGGCCGGATATGGCAGCCCGAGCTCTGACATGATCTTCTCGAACTCTTCGACAGGCTTGATCAGCCGTGGGTTGAATCGCCTTTCCTCCTCGATGGTGGAGACGCTTCGCCCCTTGTAGTCATGGCCGGGGCAAACGATGGTGTCACCAGGCAGCGAGAAGAGGTGCTTGTGCACGTTCTCATGCAGGCGCCTGGCGCTGCCCTGCTGGAAGTCGGTTCTGCCACAGCCGCGGATAAGCAAAGCATCGCCCGTGAATGCGAAAATTGCGGTCTTGACGCGGAGGATGAAGCAAACACAGCCGTCGGTGTGCCCCGGAGTTGCTCGCACCTCCAAGCTGAGATTGCCGAACTTCACAGCATCACCATCCCTGATGTGGACATCCGCTTTAGCACCAGAGCTCTGTGAAATCACGGTGCGGACCTCAGGCAGAGCTTGTCGAATGGCGCTGCCGGATGTAATGTGATCAGCATGGCAATGCGTATTCACTACATACTTCAGCCGCAGCCCCAGCTGTTGAATGAGGCTCAGGTCGCGCGCCTTTGTCTCCAACACTGGATCAATCAGCACAGCTTCTTTGGTGTCAGGGCAGTGGACCAAATACGTTAGCGTGCTACTTTCGGGCTCGTAGAGCTGCCTGACCTCTGGAGCTTGAGAAGTCAACGGCCCATCCTTCCCCAAGCAGGCTAAGTGCATCTTCAACCATGACAAAGCTTCTGGCTTGAGCGTGTCAAGCTGCAAATCCTTGACCAGGACTTCGACCGATGCACCGCTGTAGCCACGCTCCTCTGCGAGCCACAGCAACATGACAATCAATGCCCTGTTTGCACTGCTGCATTGAATCATCAGGGGCCGCGGCATCGCCCGAACTTCTTCGATCACTTGCATGATCTGGAGGCTGGTCACATCCTTTCCCGGCTTGAATGGCAGCACATGCAAGTCGCATCCTCCATTCTCAATGGCCTGTCTGCAAAAGGCTGGGTCGGTGTCTGGATTGAGATACAGCCAGCCCCTACACTGACCCGCCAATTCGCCCACCACCTTCTCAGGAAGGTCGCCGGACACGAGGATGTCACCTGGGATCGCCGGGCGCCGCACGCAGTGCTCCGCGATGATGGCTGCCAGTCTCCCGGAGCTGTCGAGCCCGGCCTTGCCAGCTTTGCCTGCGGCCTTGGGGGCCGTCGGCTGAATGCCTTCGCCCATGGAACCCATTGAACAGCCCATGGCTCAAAGGACACGAAGTAAAATAACTAAAAGGTACGCGGGTCACACCCCTGCTCGAGCTCTGCTCACAGCCTCCAAGCCTTCGCAGCCTTCCGCCTCAGAGAGCCGCCAATCTTTGTAGCAACATTCTGGGCCTCTGCCAAAACTCCGGCGTTGCTCTCTCCGGCATAATTTGTGTTCTCGGGAATTCTAGGACTAAGATCTGAGCACGAGGAAAGCAGAAAATTGAACACATGTAAGACAGACAAAAAATGGAGGAAAGGAGACAAAGTACAGTGCACAGACACACACACACACACACACACACACACACCACGCTTCAGGGGGAGGGGAAGGAAGTTGCCCTCGCTCCGAAGCCGCCGAGGTCGAAAGAAAGCAAGGAAAGCTAAAAAAAACAAAGGAAATAGCAGCGATAAGGCTCAAAGATTTTTGATGCAAAAAATGCGTTCTTCGAGGGGAGGCGAGGGGAACTCTCAAACCCGCAGAGGGGAAGTGGAGCAGAGTGGCTGTGTGGAGAAGCGCTTAGTGATGGCAGAAGCACTTTTTCAGAGGAAAAACACACTCCAAACAAGTGTATCTTCACAGAGAAATTGTGAGAAAGCGCGCGATCAACGCGGAGCATTTTTGCACTTCGCAGCGGTGGTCGCAATTACGCTCAAAGCTGCCGCCGTGGGACTTTCATAGCCCTGGTGTTCAGAGCCACGAGTCAGTGTAGCGCCGCTTCTGGGCGTGGTCGGCGATGCTTTGATAGCCCGCAACCTAAAATTGAAACTCGAGTGCTTCGCTCGAAGCTGCTATGCAGCAGACGTTGAAAGGGAAGCACGTCAGGCCGCTTGAGGCGGCACGAGGCTTGCCTACATGCCCTTCAAAGATTTTAATCTCATGCCGGGCACAATGGGCGTTGAAGCTTCGCAGAATTCTGCCGAAATTTTGGATGCTGGCAATCTCTCGGGGGGTCTGTCCCTGAGCATTCAGCTGCGTCAGGGCGTCGGCGACGCTGCCGCCCCACTGCTCCAGGAGGAGTCCAGCCATGGTGTGGTTGCCTCTCAGGGCTCTTTTTTGTCCGGGGGCTCTGGGGGGGGGGGCCGGTCCTTTCTGTTGTTTTTTTTTTTTTTTTGGGGGGGGGGGGGGGGAAGGCATGCTTGTGGCTTGACCCCGAACCGAAAGTCCAGCCCTCTTAGGAAGGCGAAGGGTTGCACACCTGAGCGGCTGCACAAATGGAGGGCATTGTTTCCCGCGGAGTCCCGGCACGCGGCCGGCAGGACCTTGTACTTGCCTACCAGGAGCTGCATGGCCTCTTCCTGTGCCTTCAGGGAACTCGGCATAAAGAGAACGCTCAGAGGGGAGGCCGAAACACCTAAAAATCACACATGTAGTTGTTCTTAAAAGAACTTATAAGAGAGAACGCTCAACAGGGGAGGCCGCAACATTTAAAAACAAAACACACACATGGCGTCGCTTCGCCCTCCCCCTCGATAAGCTTTCGTTCGTTCCCAGGGGCCGCTTCCACGGATGCCAAGAAGGGCTTCACGAGCAGGGCCCGTTCTGAAGCTCGGCCGCAGAGCTTGTCCAGGATGTCCACTGCTCCATTCTGGGCTGCGAGAGTGATCCTTGCTAGCCCAGTAGCCATACGGGGGTTGCCGAAATTAGGGGTACCCTCATATGGGCACCCTTTGTTGGGGCGTTGGTTACTTGACAAGGGGAACCCAGACCCCCCAAAAAACAAGGGGCAAAGAGTGCCACACTGGTAGCCCAAGGATCGCGGTGTCACCGCGAGTGTCGGGTATGCCTACTGAGAGCCCGGCCTGACACTCGAGCAACCGGTCCACGATGCCCCCGTGCTTGCGCAGCACGGCCGTGTGCAAGACTGTCCGCTTCAAGTCGGTGGTCTGCCTGTTGACGTCCAGGCCCATCTGGAGCAGCTTGTTCAAGATGTAGACCGAGTCATTCGCCGCGGCCACGTGCAGCGCCGTGCGCCCTGTGTCCGTCTCGGCGCCGGCGTCGGCCCTGTTCTCCAGAGCAGGAGCATGACGCCAATGCTATCGGAACGTATGGCCTCCATCAAGGGCGTCTCACTCTCATCGTCTGCAGCATTGGCGTCAGCTTTGGCCTCAATGAGAAGCTGCACCTGGCAAAGACGGGGTGCCCTTTCTCTTGCTGAGTCTGAACTCCTACGTTTGCATGTTGAATAACCTCATGGCACCATGGCATCTCAGTATCTGACATCAGATACACTTACTGATGATCATGTCCTATACCTGGTTATCAGAACAGCTCTGCTTCAAGCAAGGCACCATCAAATAGTGTCCGCTCTTGGAAGCCAAATGTAGAGGGGTGCAGCCTTCCCGGTCTTTGTCGTGAAGTGAAAAGCCTTCCGCCATGAGAAATCTGGCCAATGCCACACGTCCTTGGGAAAAGCGGATGCCAAACCCTCCAAAACCCTAAGAGTCCCACAGGCCCACAGGCCCGTAAGCCCATATAGGCCCACCCTAAACCCTAAACCCTAAACCCTATAGACCCTAAACCCTATAGACCCTAAACCCTAAACCCTAAACCCTAAACCACCCCCCCCACCTTGCTTTGCGGCCACATGCAGCAGCGTCTGGCCTCAGCTTGACGCCGCTCTTCAAACGGCGAGGGCGCGGGTGATACGGGTGACTCTAATGCATCAGCCACCTTCTGCTAAAAGGGAGGGTTGAGCTTTTTGGATGATTGGCTGATGATCGTGGGATGTTCTTCGTGATTTGTTGATGGTTTTGGGGATGATTTCAGGTGCTGTTTCTCGTCTTGCAGACGTCGCACGGAGCTTCTCACAGAGGCCCTCGCATCGTCGGAATGATCGAAGACTCCGAGACCCCACAGAGAATTTGAATTCAGAGGCAGAGAGGTCCACAGCGCGGCAAGGATGTGGGAATCGTGGTTCTTCGGCGAGAGCCACAAAAGCGACAACGACAAAACGACAAAAAGCAGAAAAAGAGAAACACGCTTTCATTTCAAGGGGCGTCGCCATTCTTTGCTTCCTCCTCCCTCTTTCATTTTGGGTGTTGAGGGATGTCACGGATGTTGTCGGATGTTTGGGGGGTCGTGAGGGCTCCGGCCTGATAAGGGAATGCCCCTCAACAGAGAAGGGCCTTTCAGTCTTCAGTCGGTTTCAGGCTACCGTGCATCAGCTGGGGCTAGCCAAAACAGGTCTTCGGTGGAAGAAGCCGAGCTCGAGAAGTGCGAACGTTCCCCCAACAGCCCTAGCCACATGGCATTTCCCAAATAGGGGTGCCCCGAATATACCCCAAAATACTATCACCTGAGGATAGCAACCCCAAAGAGGGTACCCCTATTTTCGGAAACCCCCCACATCCACATTTATCCACGCAGAGTGCCAAGTGGCTCTCTGCATTCAAGGATGCCTCGACTTGAGGTAAATTCAAGAGATGCTTAAGCAGCGTGAGATTGCCTTCCTCCACGAGCACGTGCAGCAGGGAGTTGCCAGTCACGTGGCTCTGTCTGTTCACATCGAGCTTGTGATCCATGAGGAACTCCAGCATGTGAGCATGCCTTGCGCAGGCCAAGAGCGAGTCGCCATGCTCATCCACACAGTGCAGATCTGCCTTGCGATCGGCCCAGGCCTGCAAAAGCGGAACGTCGCCTGACCTCACCATGGAGTGCAAACGCGATTGGCTTGCGCTGCTCTGGGATGGATTCTTCGCATTGATGTCAGCCCGGCGGCTCAACAGCAGATCAACCACTTCCAGATTCTCTGCATTCCCGAGATGTACCATGCCATGGTAGGGTCTGCCCTGGCATCTAGAAGTGTCTCAATTGTGCTGATCCGAGACTGGCCATCAATGGGCGCTCGCTGTTCTCCTGAGCCTTCCCGCACCCCCCCCCCCCTCTCTAAGACTCTAACCCAAGGCTGAAAACGCGAAAAAAACCCTCAACCTCAAGCCTCAAGCCATGCGGCCGCAGAAACCTCCCATACCAGCTTAACTTGAAGGCCCCTGCGACTCTCAACTTCTGCCTTCACTACTGAACTCATCTGAACTCTCTTTGGCCCCAAATTCGGTTGCGCATGTTCACGAGCTCTTCTCCAAGAGTAGCATCAAGTTGTCGACAGGCGTGAAGGAGCAAAGTGAGCTTCCAGGTCGAGCCCATGTCTGGCGCCAAAAGCTGGCGAGTCTCGCGGTCAAGGCAGGATCGCTCTGCATGCCGACTGAAGCACCTTTCGACCGCCACGTGGGCTAAGGAGGCGCCCTTGTCGTCCACTGCCGTGAGAAGCTCACGCGCATCCGCCCGGCCTTGCCTCAACAACTCCTTCAGAACGAAGTCGACAATCGAAAGATGACCTTCCATTGCCCGGTGAAGGAAAGTGCGGCCCTGGTCGTTTTTGCTGGCGAAGATGTCCGCCCGCTTTTGCAGAAGCAGCTTCAGAGGTTCTGGGTTCTTCGCCCCTGCTGCCACCAATGCAAGATCGAGGCCGTTGTGGGGGTCCTTGATGTCCAGGCTCACACCCTGTGCAAAAGCTGTCTGAAGATTCTCAAGGTCCCGCGCGCAAGCCAAAGCACAGGGTACGCCGTGGTGGTCTTTCTGGGAAATGTCGGCCCGAGAAGCAACCAGCAGTTTGGCGACCGGAGCACTGGCGGATGAAAGGGCTGTTCGGCCCTGCCTGTCTTCACGTTGAGCATCACATTTGGCGTCCAACAGGGCCTGCACGAGCTTGATTGCACGGGCCTCGGGCATCGCAGCTGTGCGGTGCAAAGCTGTGCGTCCAGCGCTGTCTTGGAGGTTCACGTCCGCTCTGTGCTGCAGCAATTGCTGAACATGCACCTCGGAGAATGCCGAGAACAAAGGGGTCCTCTCAGGACTGTTGATGGCTGCCAAGGATACACGTGGGAGCAGGGCCCTTAAGGCGGCACTGCCTTTCTGAGCTGCAAAACGTCTCAGCAGATCCTCGTTTTCTAACTCAGCGCGATGTTGAATCAGAAGGTTGACACACTCCCCGGTGATTGCCCCGCAAATTGCGGGCACCGCATGACCGGAAGTGGCATTTGCATCCAAGCCATGCTCGAGCAACAGTTTCAGAACCTGGTAGGGGTACTCTCAAAGAGGCGTCTGGAACAAGCAGATCTGGTCTCCTGCCCCCATTCCCAACCCCACCAAGAACACTCTGCAGGAACCTCCGAACGGCACTGTGAGTGAGCTTCTTCTCCCGAGCGCAACTGTCTTGGCCCATGTCTTTAAGTTTCGTGACACCGGTGGTCTTGTGCCGCCTACAAATGCTGAGACCCTTCCTTGGAAACCCCCCCCCCCAGCACCCTGACCTGGGAACCCTTCCAAAACACATCTGAGGACTGTGGCACTGTCCGACGCTGCACAAAGACTCAAGCAAAACCGTGCCACTCTTCCACAACTGTGTCGGCTCTTCTTCGTCGTTGCTTTCTACGACTGACGTTGCTTCCCGTGCTCTGCTGGCAGCCAAAGGGCCTGCCTGCAGCCCCCCACGGCCCTGGGAACCCCTCAAAGCTTTCTTGAAACCACCCCCAACACCCCCTTCCCCCCCCCTCGAACCCCCTCGAACCCCCCTGCCTCTTCGCCTTGCCCCTGACCCCTGGCCTGCACCAAGCGACGCAGACTTGGCTGTCGTTCTGCGAGGCGCACGCAAGCGCGTAAAATTATTCCGATTGTGCCCCCATGAAGCTTGATAAAGCTTGCTGTCCCACGAAACCCTTGAATCCCTTTCCCAGACAAGGCAGCGCTATGTTCGCTATGTTCTGCCAAGCAACACCATGGTTCCCAGATTCCGCGGCAGGGAAGGTCAGAGCTCTTCGCATCAGGCTGCTGTCTCCTTGCCTGATGTCTGCTCTGGCGTTCACAAGCTCCAGGGCCATGGCATAAGCATCTGCCGGCACTGGGCTCGCACTGGCAAGAAACACAAGTGGCGTGGCTCCGTTCTTTGCGCCAGAAAGGCTCTTCATCTCCACAAGGTCCGGCACTTTCTTCAGGATGAACTTCACAAGCTCCAGGCTGCCGCCCTGGATGGCTGACTGCAGAAGTGTCTGCCCAGACAGCGGGCAGTGCGCTCTCCACTGATCCATGGTGAACTGCGCCACCGCTTGCACGAATTCCTCGTAGAGACCCATACGAGCCAGGAGGAAGGAGCTCGAGCTCTTCTGTGAAGCGCCTGTGCCCGTGCGGCTAGGTTTCTTTCGAAATCTCAAGCGGCCAGCTTCCTGCCAAACGCCTTGAAGCTCGTCGTACCCCAAGTGTTCCGCCAGCATAGCTGGGGTCATTCCCGAGACATCCTCGAGCAAGGCACTCTGAGGGCTTAGCGGCAGCACCTTGCGCACGAGGTCAACTTCTGCTCTGCGAACAGCATGCGTGAGTGGTGTCTGACCCAGAGCATCACACAAGCCGGCATCTGCACGCAGCCTCACCAAGACATCCAGCGTAGTTTCTGCCGCGTTCCGGTCCCACACAGACACGGCGCCGCAAAGCGGCGGGGTGCGCAAGAAGCCGTCCTGCTCGTTGACGCTGCCGCGAGCCGAGAGCAGCAGCTCGAGGACACCATCTTCGGGTTGCCCATGTTCAGCCCAGGCCAAGACAGCGGAGCAGCCGGCGCTCGGAGATGCCTTGCTTTGAAGAAGCACATCGATGACCTTTGCCGACGCGCAACCACGTATCGCGCAGCACAGGACAGACTGGCCCAAAGCGTCCACAGCCCCGGCATCTGCTCTTTGCTTGAGAAGATCGGTAACATCATCAAGGTCATTGAATTCGCATGTGTGAAGAAAAGTGCGCCGCAGCTTCTCATTTTGGAAACCTGTCCTGTCAGTGATGTCGATGCCACTCCTTCGCAGAAATTCCCTCGCAATGCCCTTTCTTGCCATTGGAAGGCCGCCAGTGTCTGGATTTGGAGAGCTGTAGTGTGTGGAATCATAGCCAAGGGTGCTCAGTACATAGGCAGTATTGCTAGAACCAGACAGACTCTCAGCAACGCTGAGCCCATCCGATTCACTTCGCTGCATGAAGAGTTCCATCCGCATGTCTTCTTGTTGCGCCAGATGTAAGATCAGGTCGGTTTTACCTTGCATAACGGCCGTCAAGAAGATCGGATCTCCAACCAAATTCCTCACTGATGGATCTGCACGATGCTGAATGAGGTATTGCACGTGCTCAATGTTCGGGGCAATGGTAAGAGGGTATGCGCTTGACTTGTTCATGTGGTTGACGTCCGCCTGCAGCTCACAGAGCTGGCGGGTAACCTCGGGATGCTTCATATTGAAGAGCGCAGTGTTGCCGTGCTTGTCTGTCTGGTTGAGAGTCTTGCCCAGGCTGGTCTCAACTAGCACCGGGAATGACCGGATGCCACAAAAGGACAAGGCAGTCTTGCCACTGGAATCCGTTGCGGCAACCTCAGCCCGCGCTTCAATTAGGGCACGGCAGACATCTTCATTGTCATTCTGGGCGGCATTGATCAAGGCGGTTTCGCCTGCGACTCGCTCGTGCAGATCTGCCGCATGCTCCAGGAGGCAATTTGTAACATCGTAGTTTCGTGGCATGAAAAGCGGCGGATACCCACCACTGTTGCACAACTTCAAGTCGACTCTCGCGGCATTGTCCAGGAAAGCACCAGCCTTCTCTCGCAAGATGTAATCGAGCACCACGGCGTTCGTCAGCGTGTGCAGGACCGTGTTCCGATAATTGTCTTTGGCAGCAAGGTCGGCCTTGTTTTTCAACAGCAAGTTGAGCACCTGCAACGCAGTTTGCTGAGACTTCTTCGGCTTTGAAACACATTTCATGTTCTTTTGGGAGGGGGGGCTTCGGGTGGCAGAGCTGTCGCTTGAGGCCAACTGAGAGGAAGGATGGTTGGTGCACACTTGCATTCTCTTGCATCGAAAGGTCCATGAGGCGCTGAACTGCGCCGGGCCCGAACTTAGGAGGGCGAAATCCCTCCCTACACCCTAATCCCTGAGCCCCTGGAGCCCCAACTCCTTCCTTTCCATTTTGCTAGGCGATCCGCAGGGGTTTACAATGATTGGTGGGGTCCGTATTCGAAGGGGATCCTGTATTAGGGGCCACTAACCCTAAACCCCAAACCCTAAACCCTAAACCCGAAACCCTAAACCCTAACTTTCGTAAACCCCCAAATATCCTGAAAGCCGTGCCCAGAACGGGAACGCCTCGATGCTGCCGGCGAGGTGAATCGGCTGCCTGCCGCTGTCCGGCAACTTGTGCTTGACGAGCTGCTCCGCTTTCTTCCCTGGCAATGTCGGGTTTGGGGCTTAGGGTTAGGGTTTAGAGTTTAGGGGTTAGGGTTTAGGGTTTAGGGTTTAGGGTTTAGGGTTGAGGGTTGAGGGTTGAGGTTTGAGGGTTGAGGGTTGAGGGTTGAGGGCTGAGGGTTGAGGGTTTAGGGTTTAGGGTTTAGGGTTTAGGGTTTAGGGTTTAGGGTTTAGGGTTTAGGGTTTAGGGTTTAGGGTTAGGGTCTAGAGGGTCACTGTTCTAGCATTCATAGTCATTAGGGGGTTCCAGGCTTAGGAAAAACCCACCCGCCCAAAGAATCCCATGACATTAAGAAAATATAAAGTTTTCATCCAAGGACTTGCCTTAATCGACGAAGGGCTTGCCTTATTCGACGAAGGACTTGCCTTATTCGACGAAGGACTTGGCTTATTCGACGAAGGACTTGGCTTATTCGACGAAGGACTTGGCTTATTCGACGAAGGACTTGGCTTATTCGACGAATTTACAAAGGTTTAAATAAAGAAATATATATATATATATGAAGAGAGGTTTAGGGTTTAGGGTTGAGGGTTGAGGGTTGAGGGCTTAGGGTTTAGGGTTTAGGGTTCAGGGTTCAGGGTTCAGGGTTCAGGGTTCAGGGTTCAGGGTTCAGGGTTTAGGGTTTAGGGTTTAGGGTTTAGGGTTTAGGGTTTTTGGTTTTTGGGCGTCTCGCGGGCGGCATGTCACGCGAAGGCATCTGCTTTGGGGAGGGTTTGGGCCCAAAAAATGCAGAAATGGTCCGGGAGTAGTCCAATAGCCCAAAACGCTCAGAAACAGTCCGGAGGAGCCCAAGAAATGAGAGGAGCCAAAAAGGGCTCAGAAATGCTTCAGAAATGGTCGGGGGAAGCCAAAAAGGCTCAGGGAGAAGCCCAAAAAGGCTCAGAAATTGTCCGGGAGAAGCTCAAAAAGGTCCGGGAGGAGCCAAAAAAGGCTTAGGAAATGGTCAAGAAGGCTCAGAAACGGTTCGGGAGGAAGGCTCAGAAATGGTCCGGCAGGAGCCCAAAAAGGCTCCGAGGACCGACGCCCGGACCTTAGGGGAGGATGCACCACTGCGGGTCACTAAAAGCCTAGGGTTTGGGGCCAGACTGACGCTGGCACGCGGGTTAAACCCTTCTAGGCGTGGGCTGCGCTCACCGCGCACAACGGCCCCGAGCCCTGAAAGCTCGGGCTCGTCCGCGGGCCTGTCGCCACGCGGTATCGCTCGCCGCTGCTTTCGCAGCGCCCGCGGCTCGCTCCAGTTTAGGGTTTAGGGTTGGGTTTAGGGTTTAGGGTTTAGGGTTTAGGGTTTAGGCTTTAGGGTTTAGGGTTTAGGGTTTGAGTTTAGGGTTTAGGGTTTAGGGTTTAGGGTTTAGGGTTTAGGGTTTAGGGCTTAGGATCGTTTAGGGTTTAGGGGTCCCTGACCCAACCCAAAACCTGCAGGTTGGGGGGGGGGGGGGGCTTCAGCTGAGAATGGGGCAGTGACGGTGGGGCCTTAACAGCTCACAGAGAGGCGGCTACACGCAGTTAGGTTTGTCTCCCCCCCCCCCCGGCCCCAAGGATGCATTCAGGGTTTAGGGTTTAGGGTTGAGGGTTGAGGGTTGAGGGTTGAGGGTTGAGGGCTTAGGTTTAGGATGCCCGGCCCGGCCTGCCATCCGAATCATCCAGAGAAGGTTCTCAGCAATGCCACTCTGGCTTGCTTGATGCACAGGGGTGAGCTTCGTCGCCTTTCAAGGGACTAAAGGAGGGACCCTCATAAGGGACCTTCGGGGTTATTTAGGGGCTATTTATGGGGTTCTTAGGTATATAGGGACTAAACCCGAAACCTTAAACCGTAAACCTAGACCCTAAACCCTTAACCCTGACCCTCAACCCTAAACCCTAAACCCCACCTAGGGCGTCCCTCCCTATACCGCTTCGTAGCCTTGTCGACTTCGGTGCAGAGATCTGCTGGGGCTTGGCCTTGCAGGAGGACCCGCTGCATTGCCTCCATAACACGACCTGCTGTTTAGGGTTTAGGGTTTTGGGGTTTAGGGCTTAGGGCTTAGGGCTTAGGGCTTAGGGTTTGGGGGGGGGGTTCTCAATCTTTAAGAGCCTGGAACCTGCAAACCCCCAAACCCCTAAACTCCTAAACAAAGTCCTAGACCTTGAAACCAAAAACTCCCTGAACCCTGAAACTCGGGGATACCTTATGTACTCTTTAGCGCCTGCATGATGCGAGCTGAGTCCGCTGGCGATGGAGACGAGGCTGCTGCCTTGCGCTGGGGGCTTGTCGGGTTTACAATGTAAAGGGTTCGAATGACCAAGGTAGCACAGGGCTTCTCTCCGCGTGAGCTGGCAGACACTCTCCCCTTAGCCGGCCATCCCTCGTTGCGTTTGGGAGGGCCTGCCTCTCGCTGCCTTGCCTTCGTTCAACTTCTCGAAGAAGTATGTAACCACGCCTGGGCCACCGGCACAAGGCCAAAAAAGGAAAAATGACCCGAAGATCCATCTCGGAAATCTAGGAATCTAGGACTTCGGGGAATGAGCGAGGAGTATTTGGGCTTTCCGCCAGAACACTGAGGTATCCCGAGAACGTCGCTGCAGGGCCATTTGTGGCCTCCTCCTGCCCATCCCAATGTGCCCGTAAACGTACCGCGTAGTCCCTGAGGGAGTAGTGGCTTGCCTACAGGGACGGACACGGGTCATGATTCCAAACATGTCACTGCATTTTTGGGGTCTAAACTGCACAAAGGAACAAAGGTTGAGCTCTTTCAGATTCCTTCCGATGGCACGTCTTGGCTGAAACCCGAAGATACCCCCCAAGGTCCTCAACTGCTCTTCTTTAAGCCTCGGCCTGGCTAAGCACAACGCGCTCGGCGATCACAAGCAAGATTGTGGCCGTCATCTTGATCTCACTGCCTTATAAGACGCAGTATTCTAGCCCCCCCCCCTCCCCGGTTTAGGTTTTACGGTTTAGGGCTTAGGGCTTAGGGTGTAGGGTGTAGGGTTACATTGGCAGTGCGTCTGTTTGGTATGTATTATGCCGGCGAAGACCCCAAACAGCAAGGTTGCAGATCAAGGGAAAGCGGCATGAAGCAATAACGCGACGCGTAGAATTCAGTATGGAGGCGTGGGTTTCAGGCTTCTCTTTGGAGCTGCCAGGGGTCGGAACAACCCTTCCCCAATCCAAACGATGGATTGACATGGATGTCCAAGCGCTGCCCACATGCATTTTGCTAAGCCTGAAAAATGCGTTTGGTCTTGCTTTCTACATTTGCAACGCCATGCTCTCTCTTTCTGTACTTTTTCAAAGGCGAAAACAGCTGAGTGCATTTAGGCGCGCGCTCAAAATGCAGTTGCGCATTCGCCTCTTCTGTACGCAGCTTGTCTTTACGACGAAAGATCAGCGGTTAACTCAATTTTATTGTGGTTGTGGAAGGAGCAAGCTGCGCGAATGCATTCTGCCCACTTTGAAAAATGCACCTGAGCATGTTCTTCCTGATTCTGGGTCTGTTTAGGTACTCCTGCAAAATGTCGAGCATTGTTTTAAACACGTTTTTCAATTCCTACAGCTACTTTTATGCACAGAAAACACATCAGAAGAATCGAATACGTCATGAGCCAGCAGAAACCAAGACTAAACATGATAGGAAACGAGTGCCAAATGCATTCTTCGGGCGACGAAAAATGCATTTGGAATGCCCTAGAAATGCATGTCGGGTAGATGTTGGTCGTAAAACACCAATCTATTTTTTTTATTGTTTTCGTTTGTTTTTCATGCTGTAATGGAGCAAACCGAATAGACATGGATGACCAGATGCTGCCGAATGCATTTTGCCAGGCCTGAACAACGCATTTGGTCTTGCTTTCCACATGTGCAACGCCGCGTGCTCTTTCTGCACTTTTCCAAAGCGAAAACAGCTGAATGCATTAATTTGGGCACAGGCGAAAAATGCATTCGGACTTTGGTTTCTTCCGTACGGGGCCTCAAAAGTCAGCTATCAAGTGAGTTCTATTATTGTGGTTTTGGAAGGAGCAAGCTGCGCGAATGGATTTTGCTTGCTTTGCAAAATGCATCTGGGCATGTTGCTTCTGATTTTACGCCCCTTTTCGGGAATTTTGCGAAACGGTGATTATGGTTCTAAACGCGTTCAAATCCTATATATAGATGTTCTTATGCGCAGAAAGACATGAAATTTCAGCCGGCAGAAACCAAGATTGCAACATGATAGGAAACCAGTGCCAAATGCGTTTTCGGGCGACGAAAAATGCATGTGGAATGCCCTCAGATGCATGTCGGGGAAATGTTGGTCGTAAAATACCAGTAGACATGTATGTCCAAGCGCTGCCCGAATGCATTTTGCCAGGCCTAAAAAACGCATTTGGTCTTGCTTTCCACATTTGCAACGCCGTGCTCTCTTTGTGCACTTTTTAGAAGGCGAAAACAGCTGAACGCATTAAAGCGCGGGCGAGGTCGCTCACCACGGGCCCGAACCGCGTGACACCCGCCCGGCCCCATTGCGCTCATGGTCGGAGACCATGGGAGACCACGAATCCAAGCGCGTGACACCCTCTCAACCCCTGTCGCTCATGATCGGAGATTACGGGAAACCACGGACCCCGACCGCGTGACACCCGCCTGCCCCGTTGCGCTCATGATCGGAGACCGTGGGAGACCGCGGGCCCACACGCGCGAACACCCTCCCAATGCCTGTAGCTCTCACCACGGCGGCCCCATTGCGCTCATGATCGGAGATGTTGGGAGACCACGAACCCAAGCGCGCGACACCCTCTCAACCCCTGTCGCTCATGATCGGACACCATGACAGACCGCGACCAGACCGCGTGACGCCCGCCCAGCGTGCTCAGAGACCATGGGAGACCACGGACCCAAGTGACACCCTCCCAGATGATCCTTGGGAGACCATCAAGCACGTGACACCCTCCAACCCCTGCCACTCACCGCGGACCCGAACCGCGTGACGCTCGTCCGGCCCCATTGCGCTCATGATAGGAGACCATGCGAGACCACGAATCAAAGCGCGTGACACCCTCTCAGCCCCTGTCGCTCATGATCAGAGATTATGGGAGACCACGGAGCCGGATCAGCCCCATTGCGCTCACGATCGGAGAAGCCGGGAAACCCCGAACCCAGCGCGTGACACCCTCTCAAGCTTGTTGCTCATGATCGGAGTCCATGGGAAACCACGGACCCGAACCGCGTGACACCCGCCCAGCCCCACTGCGCTCATGATCGGAGACCACGGCAATCCACGGACCCAAGCGCGACACCCTCCCAACCCCTGTCGCTCATGATCGGAGACCATGAAGATCACGGAGCCGGGCCGCGCGACGCCCGCCAGCCCATGATCGGACCACGGGAGACCATGAACCCGGACCGCGTGACACCCGCCGAGATTGCGCTCGCGCCACCCGCCCGGCCCCATTAGCCCCAGCGCGCTCATGATCGGGAGGCCATGAGACCATGCGAGACGGGGACCAGACCCGCGTGACACCCTCCCAACCCTCGGAGACCGTGGAGATCACGAACCCGGACCATTGCGCTCATGAGCGGAGACCATGGGAGACCACGGACCCAAGCGCGTGACACCCTTCCAAACCCCTGTCACTTCCAAAACCATGAAAACATGGACCGCGTGACACCCACCCGGCCCCATTGCACTCATGAGGAGACCATGGGAGACCACGTACCCAAGCGTGCGCCACCCGTCTAGCCAATCGCGTGGCACTTTTTTCTGAGGAGAGCGCCCCAAACAGTTCCTTTTGGGGAAAAATCACAGGCCCGAAGCGCGTGACACCCACAAGGCCCCAATGGTCCCAATTGTGCTCATGATCGAAGACCGCAGGCCCGCCAATTGTGCTCGTGATCGGAGACCGCAGGCCCGAAACGCGTGACACCCGCCCGCGACCACAGGCCCGAGCGCGTGACAGCTCATGATCGGAGACCATGGGAGACCAGAGTCCCCGAAGCGCGTGACACCCGCCGGCCCCAATTGGCCCCAATAGCGCTCTGATCGGAGACTGTGTGGGAGAGCACAGGCCCGAGCGCGTGACACCCGCCCGGCCCCAATGCCCCCAATTTCGCTCATAATCGGAGACCATGAAAGACGACACCATGGGACCGCAGGCCGAACGCCCACCCGGCCCCATTGGCCCCAATTGCGCTCATCATCGAGACCATGGGAGACCACAGGCCCCGAAGCGCGTGACACCCACCCGACCCCAATGGCCAATTGTGTTCACAGGCCCGAAGCGCCCACCCGGCCCCAATTGGCCCCAATTGTGCTCATGATCGGAGACCATGGGAGACCACAGGCCCGAAGCGCGTGACACCCACCCGGCCCCAATTGGCCCCAATTGTGCTCATGATCGGAGACCATGGGAGACCACAGGCCCGAAGCGCGTGACACCCACCCGGCCCCAATTGCCCCAATTGTGCTCATGATCGGAGACCATGAAAGACCACAGGCCCGAAGCGCGTGACACCCACCCGGCCCCAATTGGCAACAATTGTCCTCATGATCGGAGACCATGGGAGACCACAGGCCCGAAGCGCGTGACACCCACCCGGCCCCAATTGGCCCCAATTGTGCTCATGATCGGAGACCATGGGAGACCACAGGCCCGCGTGACACCCACCCGGCCCCAATTGGCCCCAATTGTGCTCATGATCGGAGACCATGAAAGACCACAGGCCCGAAGCGCGTGACACCCACCCGGCCCCAATTGGCCCCAATTGTGCTCATGATCGGAGACCATGGGAGACCACAGGCCCGCGTGACACCCACCCGGCCCCAATTGGCCCCAATTGTGCTCATGATCGGAGACCATGAAAGACCACAGGCCCGAAGCGCGTGACACCCGACCGGCCCCAATTGGCAACAATTGTGCTCATGATCGGAGACCATGGGAGACCACAGGCCCGAAGCGCGTGACACCCATCTGGCCAAACGCGTGACACTTTTTTTTCTGAGGAGAGGACCCCAAACGGTTCCTGTTTGGGGAAAAATCAAAAACCCATACACTAGCACAATATAGTGAATATTGACTACAATGTAAGGCAATGTAACTTTAAAACACTTTTTTCTGCGAAAGGCACTTGCGATGCGTGTTGAAGCATAGAGGCAAAGATTTTGTAGGATATGTTGGTGAGCGAAATGGGACGATGATTGGAAAGGAGACGAGAATCCTATTTGTGGTCCTTGACCAACATAACAACTTCCGAAAATAACCAAGTAGCAGGTACTTCCCTAGTTTCAAAGCACTGGTATAATGGTCAAAGAGAAAAAGTTTAGAATATAAGGAGCATGTTTGTATAATTCACCGGGTATATCATTGGGGCCCGGTGACTTACCGGGCTTTAAGCGTCGGAGAGCGGCGTCCAAGTCCGCCACGGTAAAAGGGCGATCCGTACCTGCCTATATAGGCAGAAGAACCCACACGCCTCCCGCAAGGCAGAAGAAAACACTGAAACTCTAAACCGTGAAAACGCCGGCCTGTGGCGCCCCGCAATCTTAGTGACTTGCTGCCATACTGCTGCGGCCGGGTTCTGAGAGGTATTAGAAGAGTTGAGAACGAATTCATGGCCTACCGCGACTTGTGAGGGCGGCGCAATGCAGGTTCATGCACGAAAACGAATTGAATGCATTTGCGCAGTTGCGCAGTCCTGCACTATGGTACCTCTGGCTCGGGTATCTAACCATGTCACAGCATACAGATATGAGCAGCTGTACTTACCGTTATGATGATGGTATGCGTCGGCCTACCTATCATAGAGTGCATGAAGTACAAGTAGCAATTGAATTGTTCATGACCGGGACTGATTGATGCCCACGCCAAGTCTGGAAATGAATAAGTCCCTGTTGAACCAGCGTCGGCCGCACTGGCATCGACTATCGATCGCGGGCATGCGCAGGGCAACTAGGCCCGACGCTGCCCCGTGCACCAAATTATGCCAATAAGGCGGCCAAGTCTTTCCAGCCGCAGCTGCACGTCTTCTCTCGCAGAACCAGGTCGCACTGCGGCGCATGGCCAGCCAAGCCTCACTTTGGAAATAGAACACGCGCCGCAACACAAGATCTCCTTCATGGATCGCCCAGGCCCCCCAAAAAGCACCCTGTCTGTGCAGCTTCAAACAATATGCAGCCAGGCAGCCAAAAGCCTTCAGTATGGCCTTCACCACGCATGGTGGCGGAGCATCCTCCGTGACCTAGGTGCACCCAATCCACACTCTCCCAGGGTTGTGGATGCCAGTATCTAATGCATTGAAACAGTTGTGTTTATACCAGGCAAAGTATTATTGAAATACGATCTGCAAAGTCCACTGAAAATACCTTATGTTTACATATTCATGAAACAATTTATATTTTTGAAATATTCATTCTATGCGAATTTAACTACTAGAGCACTTCTTAAGCAAATAGCCCAATTTGACTCAAGTGAATACTACTTTCACTCAACCAAATACGAAAGAAACACTAACGGAAATGGAAGCGGTTCTACCTACATAACAATGAAGCAAAGATTGCTGAAGTATTCATTAAAGACCACTTATATACTATGTCTGAAAAACACAATTTGCATAAGCAAGCTTAACAATGCACGATAATGGAAATAGAAGCGGTTCTACTTACATAACGATGAAACAAAGATGTCTGAAGTATTCAATAAAGACCACTTATATACTATGCTTGAAAAACACAACTTGCACAATCAGGCTTTAAAAAAGCACACGAATCCTAGAAAAGTACTTAGTGAAGGCCATACACAAGCAAATTCACAAATACAAAAAAACATCCAAAAGCGCAAGCTTTTCAGGAGAATCTCTGGTGAAGTTTGGATTATAGGGTTTTGGGGTATCCCTGGACGAGTAGGAGTCACTTTTTAAGCAAACAATTCTAAGCAATAAATGCTTTTTCTCAAGACAAGTATTGCAAATGCTGCTTCTAAATAATTCATCGCTCTTACCAGGCAAATAATATCCATGCGAATTTAGCTACCAGAGCACCAAGTAATGGCTGAATAAGGTCTACTACACGTGAGTACAACCAAAAGATGCACTAAACACTAGTTGAAAAAGAAGCGAAGCGGTTCTACTTACATAATCATGAAACAAATAGTTTTGAAGCACTAGAAAGACCACTTGTATACTATTTCTGAAAAGCACAATTAGCATAAGCACACTTAAAAATGCGCAGTTGTTGCCTCGTGACCGTGAAGGCGAACCAAAAAGCCAAAATTCCAAAACCAAAATAACCAAAAACACCAAAACAACAAAAAAAAAAAAAAAAAAACAAGAAAAACAAAAAACACAAAAATCCGGGACTCTTGGAGAAGCCTCATAGGGATTCCTGAGAGTTCCGGAAAATTGGTTTTTTGGGTTTTTTGGTTTTTTGGTTTTGTTTTTTTTGGTGTTTTTGGTTTTCTACTGTCCCGTGTATGCGATTTTAGTTGTATTTAGTATACGCCCTAGCAGTGCAGCTGGGTGACTTGAGACAAGGCGAAAAAGGGTAGGTCACGGGGGGGGGGGGTACCATACATATATACATATATACATATATACATATATACATATATACATATATACATATATACATATATACATATATACATATATACATATATACATATATACAGATATACATACATACATACATACATACATACATACATACATACATACATACATACATACATACATATATACATATTGTACGTAGCTCTACTTTTTGTATGTAGCTCTATAGCTTATCCACTTGGACCTCGCTGCTGTCTGACTCGCAGAGGCGCTCCAAGACCTGCGCTCAGCAGTTTCGGAGGTTTGGGGTTTGGGGCCCAGGGTTTACGGTTTAGGGTTTAGGGTTTTTTGTGTAGTGTGTCAAGTTTCGCCCAACCCTCTTAACCTTCCCTTAAAGCTCAAGGGCCCCCAAAATAGGCAGTCCAATAACATAAACTTTTCTTTTGGAAGCAGTACCCCTAGCCAGGCCCGGGCAACGAAGCAGTCAGAATTGACGCCAATATTTCTTCGCGACACTCGGCACACCACCACCACCACCACCAGCAACCACCACCGCCAAGCACCACTGCCGCCACCACACTCCACAACCCACACTCCACCACACACATCCACTCTCCACCACACCAAAACCACAAACACCACCACCGCACCACACTTCACACTCCACCACCAACACCACTACCACCACACTGCACACTCCACCACCCTCCCGCACCACAACACATGCGCTCGTGGAGACTGCGATCGATCCAGATCCGTGGAGCTCTCCGAAACATGCGCGCTTCAGAAAGCACGTGCTCATAGAGACCACGATCTGCAACCCCCTTTTTTCAAGGTTATCTCTTGATGCATTCAAGACCCGCCCCCCATTTTCCTGGATAGAAGTAATGCGACATGCAACTTGACCAGGGCTGGTCCGGTTCCCTGCTAAAGCAGAGACTCACACAAGCCTACGCTAGCTTTCGTGATAATGTGGAATCAAAGCCTGGGTGTACATTCGAAGGGCGGAGCCGCACAAAGGCTCCTTCCAGCAATTTAGAAATGCAGCGCAAGCCCTTGTAAACATTATCGCCGCCACCCAGACTCGCTGCTACGGCACCCCGTGAATCAAGCGCTTAGCGTTTCGGGTTTAGCTTGGGAGTTACGCCAGTGTTACGCCTGAACCAGAAAGAAGTGAAGCCGAGAAGCCGCATGAACAGCTAAGAGCATTGAATTTCACGGATGGCGACCCCAGACTGGCCCCACATCGGCTTTAGGGTTTAGGGTTTAGGGTTTAGGGTGTAGGGTGTAGGGAGTAGGGTTTAGGGTTTGAGCTGGGTTTAAGGTTTGAAGTGCTTCCTTTTTTCTTGGAAAAACAATTCCCTCAGGCCCCCCAAGTGTGACTCTGCGCGCTGAAGTCTAGCGGAAGCTTCAGGGCAAGCTCAACGTTTGGCAGCTCATCCCCAAAATGCTGCCACCAAAAAACCTGACATACATCGGGCATGCATGCGGCCACTGGACCACCAAACATTATTACCCTAAACCCTAAACCCTAAACCCTAAACCCTAAACCCTAAACCCTAAACCCCAATTTTTTGCAAAGATCCCAGAACTCTTGCCTCCAGCAACGGGAAGCGACCACTGAACTGAAAACTCTCTGAAAACAAAACAACCGGCCCCCGAGCAAGACCAACCCGGGTTTAGGGTTTAGGGTTTAGGGTTTAGGGTTTAGGGTTTAGGGTTTAGGGTTTAGGGTTTAGGGTTTAGGGTTTAGGGTTTAGGGTTTAGGGTTTAGGGTTTAGGGTTTAGGGTTTGCAGGCTGCAAAGCACAGGAAACTCAATTGCCTGGGCTGCCGTGAACTGCAAGTAGAAGTTCTCGTTCAGGACATAGTCGATCAGAAGTTGGAAGGATTCCCGGCGAACGTAGGACGAGCAGCCTTCAGGGTTTAGGGGTTCAGGGTTCAGGGTTCAGGGTTCAGGGTTCAGGGTTCAGGGTTTAGGGTTTAGGGTTTAGGGTTTAGGGATTAGGTTTGAGGGTTGAGGGTTTAGGGTTTAGGGTTTAGGGTTTAGGGTTTAGGGTTTAGGGTTTGGGGTCTGGGGTTTAGGGTTTAGGGGCCTCTCTCTATCAGGCGCCGAAGGCCCAGAATCACGTGCATGAGAAATCGCGGCTTCTCCTGCAGGTCCATGAAGGAAACGCCTTTGCTGCCAGGCATTCGCTCATGGATTGCATGCCCGATCAGCATACCGAACAAAATCTCTCAGGGGCGGGGGCTTGTTTTTGTTCGTTTCTTCCGGGTCAGTACTGATAGCTGCCCCAGCCCTCAACATCTTGGGAGCCTGGTGACTAGAAATGAAATCAAGCAATTGAGACCAGCATTAAGGGCTACTTAGGCTTATGTAGGGCCTGTTCAGGCTGTAAGTCTGGTAAGGATGCAAGGTCCTGGCGAGTTCAGGGCATGTCCCCCAAAACTAAACCAGCCAAAGCCGCTGGAATGAAGCCTGCCAGATTGGATGATCCACTTCAACTGGCGAAACGTGGCCTCGTCCTTGACCGCATCTGCCACCAAACGGCGCAGCACCAAGAGGTCCTCAAACCAAGACTCCTTCAGCAAGGAAGACTTGGAGAACGTGCCCTTCAGCTGGCTCAGGCCAGCTGCCAAGTCTCCCTTGTACAGCTTGATGGCCGCGGACAGGGCCCCCGTCGCTGCAGAGCCCAATTCTGCCATTCTGGAGGCTGGAGTTTTCATGTGCTTCGTAAGCTGCAGCAGGGTCTCAAGCCAGAGCTCTGTCGAGATGTCAGCTGCCTCGAGTCAGGGGCCATTTCGCTGATTCAGCAAGCTCTGAGTCATCCTTTTGCCTTGCAGCTGGCGTCACCCTATTTTGAGGACTTGTAGCGATTAAGTTGGGACTGGGTCTGAAGACATCCTGCCTCGTCAGCCAAACCTGCAACCACCTCACGCTTGGATGCACGAGTGTTCAGCTCGCGCAAGTTTTCGCAGAAGTCCCAAATTTCATCCCGCGTCTCTTGAGAAATGGCAGGCAAATTGCCAATGAGGTGCTCTGCTTGGACGGCCTCGAGAAGAAAGAAGACACATTGAATCATGTCCAAGCCCAGTGCTAAAGGCATGCCCTCAAAGGTCGAAGTCGGTAGGTTGGAGATGAACATCCGCGCCACCGGCAGCAAGCCGCAAGCCACGTGGCTGTCGCCCACCGGCGAATTCGACAAAACACGTAACAGGCATCGCGCGGCCTTGAAGGCAACCTCAGGGTGGTCGTGGAAGCAGGCCTCAGCCAATTTCTGCCGCACGTACACGACGTGCTTGACTGTCAGCTTACCATCGAAAGCGTTGCCCGAGCCAGCATCCTGAACCGAGAGAACAACAAGGAACTGGAAGCGAACTGCAGCTAACAGAACTCAAAGACACGAAACGCACAGAGTCCTCCACGCAAGGACTGCCGAAAGTGCGAACTGTCTGATGAAGGATGGCGCAAGAAAGTGACAAGAGCCCTGCGATGAAGCAACAAAGAAAAGAAGTCAGAAGATGGACCTGCCCTGCCCAGAAAAAAGTTGGGATCTCCACGCCTCTTGCTGGAAGCACAGCGATAGCAAATTGTCGAGTTCATCCAGCTGCTCCTTTAAGTCTTCATCCTGAAACAACACGCTCTTGGAGAACATGTCACGGCACACAGCATGTGCTGAATTTCCTTACCTCAGGCTGCGAAATCATTGCAACGCACCCGGTCACGATCACATGTTTTATATTTGCATCACTCTCCACTTAGGCAAGACTAGCTTGATAAGGTTCGTGGCAAACGAGTTTGCAGATTCGCTGCGGTCCCCAGCCTATATGGTTGCCCAAGACTGAAGAACACTGGAAGCTAACAAATGAAATCACCCATGCTTGCGAGCACATTTATTCAAAGCCCGTAACACATGTCCTGTCTGTGCTTGGCCCCTTCATCCTCCATGGGGCCAGATATCTTGTCGCAATTCAGGCGTTCTTGCACGAAAAATCATGCAACTTTGGCATGACCTTCCATTTCAGCTTGAGCCGAAGCGAAGCCAATAAAATGCAGGATTGGCGACATGTCCGCTGCGAAGGTCCCAGTGCCAAATCCTGTGCTTTTCCGTCCTGCATGGATCCTGTCCCTTTTCCAGCTTTCTGCGACCATCAGCACCGTCACCTCACGGCAAGAAATTTACAACTGCAGCTACCAATGGCAATCATGGTTTTTCGATTTGATCACAGCGCAGTCTGTTCCAGGCAGAAACACATTGATCCTGCACAAAACCAAAGGCGGAGCAAGTCAAACAGGTTTCTACAACCGGTCCGATCTCACACCTATATACAGCCTACACGTCGCACCAACAAAGCATTACCAGACCAAGAAAACTGAGAGAGATCTGAAAGACCCGAAAAGGTTCCCGAGACAAACATACACCAGGCTGAAAAACGTTTGGTTCAGTGATCTGCGCCCGAAGCAGCAGCAATTCCCCAAGTCACGGTGCATCCTGCGTGGACCGGTAAAGCCACAACAAGTCATGGAGATTTTTGCCTTTCCTCGCTCAGTCAGCTCTTGCGAAGTAGCAGCGAACAGGCACATCTGCATACTGTAGCAGACGACTCCGACCCACCATTCGCCGGAAAGCTACAAAAATAAGGGGAGTTTGCTTTGATTTTTCGCCAGCAAAGCTGCTAAATCTACAAAAGATGGTCTCTGCTGTCTCCCAAAATGGTCCGGTTCTTGGAATCAGAACCCTCTTAAGAAGCAGCTACTCAGGCTTTGCTCCCAAGCTCTAAATCCGTTGTCTCTTCGTTCTTCCCGTGAGCTTCAAAAATCCTCTGCTGAGCAGGACGTGTGTGTCTTGGAAGTCAACCAATGGGCGGAAGATTTGCGCTGGAACATGCTGGACCCGTGTCAAAAGAAACCATGCCAATGAGAACCCAACAATGATGCCCGGCAGGAGTCGTGAAAAACCGAAGGTCCCTCTGGTACCTTTTCCCTTGAAAGCACGAACCCTGACCTCTCACACAAGTGCGGACAACTCTCTCTTTTTCACAGTCGGAGCCACTTGAGCCAAAAGTCACGAAGTGCACAAACTAAACGAATTCTCTCTTGTGAGCTTAAACTCAGCTTCAGAACGAAGTTCCTACACACTGCACACTCACTTTAAATAGCGTATTGGGCAAAAACACACTCGTATGATTTCCTTGGAAATCAACGAGGCATAAACCATCGAGGATGGGATCACACGGATTCCCAATCACTCCGAAGCAAAACAAACCTATACAAGCTGATCCAAAACATGACAAAAACATCACTGATCAGCCACAATCTTCCACCCCCCGCATTTTGCTGAGGGTTCATGTCAAAGATCTGAAGTCCAAGCCCAGCTCGGCACTTCAACACTAAGGGGATGCCCTGGCCACATTCCCTTGGTGCGTACTCGCCACCAAACGAAACAAACAACACACCAGTCGATCTCTGACATCAAACTTAAAACTCATGCAAGATCCCACCATCAGGCAGGTTGTCCTGGGTCCACATCACTGGTAACCCAAGAGTTCGTTGTCCAAACACGTGAAAAACGAATTAAACTTGCATCCACCTGCACTGGGGCAGGGTTGTCTTGGAACGAATCCAAGAGTTCGTGGTGACAAACACGTGAAAACGAATTAATGCAAGCTTCAGATGTTTCCCACTCAGCACTCGACCTTGTCGTGGTACTCCTCCTCAGTCTCGCATCTTCCAGGTCACCAAACTCACCAACTAGCATCGGCTAGCTGATCCTTCAGGAAAAGATTGGCTTCATAGTTTCGCTTCTTCCAGCGTACCATCAGCCAAAAACGTCTTCAGAGGTGGCAATCAGACGCCTTGCAGAAGGGGCTATAGAGTCCCTCGTTGAGTTTCATCATCATTTTGCCTCCTCTTTGCAAACTTCTCATGCACTGAAACAAGGGCTCACACTAACCAGAAAAATCGCGGGCGCTCCATGGCGGCAACGCGGCCATGGCTTCCAAAAAAATGGCTGCGGGTTTCACTCACCCACCCAACCACTGAGATCACTTAGCATCTCAGTTCATTCTTCATCCTCTTCGCCCTTCTTCTCGCCAGCTCCAGTTGACTCCATCAACTTGGCGCGGCGCTCCTTGGCGGCTTCCTTCATCTCCGCCAACTCAGCCGTCCTCGTTTCCATCATCACATCCTGCGAAGATCGGCTAGGCTCAGCTGGCGTCTCCGCAGGCCTCTCAGTTGGCTGGTCTCCAACCTTTCTCTTCTTCTCTTCCAACATCAGCTCCAAATCGGCAACACTAAAGCTTGCCTTCACACGCTCAGCAATCTGCGCGATAGCTGCTGCATCCAACTCAGATGGTACAACTGACACAGGCGAGCGAACCGCTTCGCCTTCCAGCTTTGCTCTCTTAGCAGCTTCTTCCTCGGCAGCTGTCAGGTCGGCGATGCGCTTGCGCTTTCGCTCAGCTTCCTCGAACTCTCGGTCTTGCTGTTCCGCTGCAGCCTTGAGGATCCGCTTCAGGTCCTTTTCCTCCTTCTCGAGTTTCCCAACATTCTCACCCATGATCCCAAAGGCTTGCTGCCACATGTCGGCAGGCAACGTCAAGTTGAACCTCACCACATAGTCGGTCGGCAAGTGCCACTTACACTTGCAGATCCACACAACACCGCTTCGAGTCTCACTCGCAACCACCTTCTTCCAGCTTGCCGCCCTCTGCGTGTCGGTGATCTCCTCTTTCTTTTTCTCCAGGTCCTCCAAGAATCCTGCAACAGACTCCATCACGGATCTGTAGTGGCTGTAGGCCACAAACGACCACTTGGGGACTGGTCTCTCCCTCAGCTCCGGCTCGTGAATCCGAAGTGTATCACACGACAACATCGAAATCACTCGCACTCGCTCCACCAGTTCCTTAAACACCAAGGATCCTTCCTTTGCACTTCTCTTCCAGCGCAACACCCATGGGGGATAATACGAGCTCTCAGCTTCATCCTCCATGATCCTCTCTGCTCCCAAAATGGGTAGCATGCACAACAGATCCACCATCCGCAAGACTCCGAGGTCCTGGTGCTCACCCAGAAGCAAAACAGGGACTATCCCTTTTCTCTTCAAGTACCTCACGAAGCTCAACATCGCCAGGCCACACGTTCCCGGCGGTACTTCCATGTACAGTCCTCCTTCATTCACTGCCATCTCCCAGATGATGGCCTTGCCACCAATCTGTCCACGGACATCCAAGATTCCGAAGATCTTCGTGGGTTTCTCCTGTAGCTCACACACCTCCTGGATGGGCTTCACCAGCTTCTCGTATGAGCTTTGATAGCGCAACATATCCTTGTCGGATAGCGTGCCTACCACGTCCTTGAGCTCTAGCTCATCCACTGGAGTTCCGCGCCGGCAGATACTCCATGACACATCACCGAACCACTTCGGCGGCTCTGGATCCGCCAGCTCCGGAAACACGTCGACCATCCGTTCAATCACCTTCGGCATGGCCTTGGGTTTCGGTGCAGCTTGGCCTGAGCCTCGGCTTTCACCTTTATCACCCCTTTTTCCAGCAGCTCGGCGCTCCTTCTCTGCCTCTCGGAGATGGAATGCATGGCTTGCATCCGTGCCAGAGACTGTCACAGTCTGTTTGCACTTTTCGCACTTGGGCTTGCCACTTTCATCCCAGCTCAACCCGGCAGCATGCTCGGATCTGAACAACCATTTGCAAACCTTACACCAAAAGGGGCTTTTCATCTCAGCACCCTGCTCACCCTTCCTGCTGTCTTCAGCTGCCATTTTCCTGTCCTTCACCAAAGGTACAGGCTCCAGGCTAGGGCTAGCTTCCGTGGTGCTTGAACCAAAGCTTTTGCGGTTGGACCATAAATCCATTTCTTGAACCTCAGGGGAAGAGTCTTCACGAAGGGTTTCGGGACTTCTAAGGTGGAAATTTTCAAAAACTTCACCACACTTTTTCACACTTTTCAACGATCCAACTTGCTCCACACTGCATCCAGTTGCCTCGGCACACTGGCATGCCTGAACTCCAACCCTTGGTCGGATTCCACAGATCCTCCACACCTGCTGCACATCTTCACCAGGGTATATACCCATAGCTTGCTGGTGCTGACAGAATGTCACTTGACTCAAGCACTTTGTAAGAACGT